TCTAAAAGCTCAGTACAGAGCTTTACATTTTGTGATTCACGTAAGCAGTGATCAATATGGATTTGGGGAGAAAGAATGTGGCAAAATACAATGTGTCAGCTTTCTTTAACAATCTTGCCATTGCTTCTCCTTGCACGGGGCCTCTCTGACAGAACCTGCTGTCTTGAACTATTAGAATATAGAAATCCCTCTCTGAAGAAAAAAAAACCAAAAAACCAACAAACCAAAACCCAGGAGAAAATAAAAAAACAAACTAATTTAATTAAAATGCCACAAGTTCTAACAACGTTCTGCAAGTGGTAAAAGAAGAAAGGAAAATAAAAACGTACAAAAATGGTTTCCAGGTCCTGGGTAATGATGTCCTTTGTAAGCTGCCATCAGGCCAGGGTTTATGCCAATCTACAAAGATACAAGTCTATTTTAACAATGTCAACGTGGCTTGCTAGTCAAGAATTTAATCAAGTTACAGTAAGGATGCTTATTCAATTCTCAAAAAAAGATGTATTAAGGGCACCTTCCACCACTATTTCAAAAAACCTGACAATTTTGCAGTAGTGCCTCGTGTAGATGTGCAAGGTCAAAAGAGCAGTTCAGAGGGTGCAGAGCTTCCAGGAAATAAAGCACTGAGTAATGGGCTCTCATGAATCTGTACTAAACGTGAGCCTTAGATTTCTCAGAAATTAGAACTAAGTTACTATGGCTTAAAGAGAAAAATGCAAAGCAGCTCTGCACACAGGAAACAGTTTATGTACTTTATCTTGCAAGATCTTGCCATATATGCAACATAGATGAGTAAGCAGAAAGAATGTAAATCATAACAAGTAAATACAAGACTTTTCTACCTAATCTGGTAACTTTGAGTTACTCACTATCACAATGTCCAGATCAAAGGTCAAAATATCAGGCAAAGTCTTGGTCAGAAGTTCAGCTTCAGATACACCATTAAAACGGTCCACTTTTCTTTTGACTTTAAAAGTATCTGTGATCTTTTCTTGTTTGCCTTTTGACTTGGCTGATTTTTCTTTTTTAGCAGCAGGCTTTTTGGGTTGCTTTGGCTCAGTTGCTTTGGCTTTTCTTTTCCTTCCCCCTTTTTTAACTTCTGAAACACACAACAAATATTCTTTTTGTACATTTCCAATGTTGCAGCGTGGATATTCAAATAGACTCAGCTAAATGTATGGGCACAGAGAGAAATCAAAGAGGTAAATTTACCTTCAAAATTCATTAATTTAAACAACACACATGAAGCTTCCTCATCTTCTGGCTCTTAAAAGTTTAGAGATTCAGGCAGCACAGGCAAGGCCATGACATAACCACCCAGAGATTGCTCTCTCTCTCTATATTCATTAATAACGTTGAGCTGTAGAACAGTGTCACTTTCCATCAGCTTGTATTTGTTTAAGCAAGCCACAGTAAACGAAACAATTTTTAGCAACCAATTCCCTACCTGTGACTACTACAACTAAGCAACCATTCAAACAAAAATATTTAAATAAACAGTATTATACTCTACTTCTCTTGCAGAAAGTTAAAAAAATAGGTATTTTGAAGCCAGAATAAAAAAAAACCAGTTTCTCTAATACAATATTAAATCCCTTGACTTCAGATAAAATAATGCATTTACCTATTGAAAAAAAATCTGCTTTTCTTGGAACAAGATAATTTTGTGAGACTGAACAATGTGCATATATTCACATGAGTTTACTTCCTGTCTTTTAAATCGTCTGTTAGAATACGTTTCTTGAAGAATACAATTAATCAATACTTCTGCAGTGAGTATCAAGAAAAGGAAATCCAATAGGTCCAAGGAAGCAGTTTAAGAGCAATATTTTTTACCCAATCAATCACTCTCACTTCAGCTCCTTAGCATGCCCCAGTCAAGTTACCTTTCGGAGGCTCCTGAGCAATGTTTGGCTCTGGAATGCCCTCTAGAGTCGGCTGCTCAATCATCATTTCCATGTTGGGCACTGCACTCATCATCTGATGGAAGGGAAATGAGTAAAACGCTTGAGCTTGCTGAAGATACGTGTAGTATCTTAGAGAGGGAGAAACAGAGAAATAATTTATCAACAATTTTGAAACTTACTGACATACTAAACTGAAAAGTTTGATGTAAACATCAAATTTTATCAAGGCTGTACTGCACTTACACTCTCTGATGACTCTGTTAACAAGGCACTAAATTATCCACACCATCGAAGCAGTCTGGCTGCTTAGCTGGTATCAGTTACCCCAACATTAACAGCACAGTTCTCTTGTGATTGCTATGATGTGGAATTAACACAGCGTTTGTAAGGGAAGAGTAGAACTTTTTTTTTTTTTTTTTTTTTTTTTGTAAAATCACTGCAGCACACATTTCCAAAGCAAATTGTCTATCAAACGGACCAACAATTTACAACACATGTTGAGCTAAAGCTCTCTGGACTTCCTCAAGTTTCCCAAATTTTATATCTTTTTTATGTGGTGTCAGTTGCTTGATCTGATAAGATACAGAATGGATGAATCATCCATTAATGCTATAAAGCATTAAGAACACACACAGCATTTGTTACTATGCAGATTATTAAACAGCTTTAACAAATTGTGTGGCAGATGTTGTCCCGCTATCACACACTGGATCCCAACACAAGTATTGCATTTATTCTACATGAAAATGTTCACACACACAGAGATCCTTCCAGTCTCCTTCTATGCATAAAGACATTTTTCCATAGTCAGCGCTCTCCCTCCACACATTTATTAGTCACACACAGCCCTCACACCCATTTCTGCTTTATTCTGTCACTCCCTTCTACCTACACAGCCACCTTCTGGTCCAGAGTTTCTACTGCCTTATAAATACATAGAAAGGACTTGGTGAACAGTAGATTTTCAGGAAATAATTTTATCATCTCAGAGCTATAATTAAAAACACCAAATTATTTTGAGATATAGAGATATTTGTCCAAGAACGCCAATGGCATCCTGTATTAGCAATAGTGTGGCCGGCAGGACCAGGGCAGGGATTGCCCCCCTGGACTTGGCACTGCTGTGGCCACATCTTGAGTGCTGTGTTAAGTTTTGGGCCTCTCACTACAGGAAGGTGCTGGAGCATGTCCAGAGAAGGGCAACAGATGTGGGGAAAGCTCTGGAGCAGCTGAGGGAGCTGGGGGTGTTTACCCCAGAGAAAAGAAAGCTCAGGGGTGACCTTATCACTCTCTACGACCACCTGAAAAGAGGTTGAAGCTGAGTTGGTCTCAAGTAACAAGTGAGAAGGGGAAATGACCTCATGTTTTGCCAAGGGAGGTTTAGATTGGGTATTAGGACAAATTTCTTCATGGAAAGGGTTGTTAACTATTGGAATAGGCTGCTCAGGAAACTGTCTGAGTCACCACTGTGGAGATATTTAGAAAATGTTATAGATGTGTAAATTTATGGAGAAGGTTAAGTGGTGGACTCGGCAGTGCTGGGTTAATGGCTGGATTCAATGGTCTTAGAGGTCTTATCCAACCTAAATGATTCTGATTTTAAATTTCTCAAAAGAAGAGCATATTCCCAACTACATACGGGGTTTTTAAGAAACTCATTGTAAATCAATCTTATGCAAGAAGAACCCACAGTCTTGTGATCAAGCCACTAATTTTAACCCAAATATCTATTCTGAAACAAGAAGAATAAATACAGTCATAGGTCTGTCAGATTCCCAGAGAAGTTGCCTAAGAAAGCTATAGGAGATTTTCTGAGCACACAGAATACCTTAAACCCTCTGCTAGAAGAACTCCATTTTATATAAAATACTTGTGCAGTTAATGAACCAAACAAAACTGATTTTCAGATTTGTATTGAGAAACACATGAGAAACTGAGGCATGCAGAATCCAGTTCATAATGTAATAAAAGCTTAATCACACAGACCAGAACAGAGTAAGAAAAATGTGAAAGCATCTAACCTAAGACCAGATATCTTTTTGTAACACAGACCTACTTATTTTACATGTATATAAAGTCTACTTCTAGCAAAGTGAATAAAATTCCCTTTGAACAGAGAAAAAATTTGCACCTTACCACAAACAAGGCCTCTAACCACTTGCTAACGAGAGTGAAGTTTTACCCCTACCTCTAAGTTTCCCATATATTTTAGGCCAGATTTCTTGCGTGGGTTCAGAAATACTTTTCTTTTTTTCTTTGTTATTGGTGTACATACATTATAGAACGTTTAAATAAGTACTTTCAGTATCACGAGGACAAACTAGTGATTTATTCCTCTCCCCTGCCTTCGGTTCATGATTTTTTTCCTCCCCCCCTCTTCCGTTCACGCTAAAAACAAAGAGGAAAGAAAAAGGTAAAGAAAGAGATATGTTCACTGGAACAAAACCAGGTATTAAGTAATTTTTAAATCCCCATCGGGACAGAGACACGATCGAGTCTCACGCTGCCAAGGCCGCCGCGCTCCCCCAGCCGCGGGCCCGGGAGCCCCAGATCGCCTTCCCTCCCTCTTTGTGCCCAGGGGAAGGGGAGCCAGGCGACCGCCACAGCCCGGCCCGGCTCCGCCGGCCGTGGGATGCGGGGAAGGAGGAGAGGGACAACGGGCGATGCCCACCGCGAGACCCGAGCGCGGCTGCGGGCTCCCGCCGGTACCTGCCCAGCTCCGGGCCCTCCATGCCCTCCGGGCGCGCCGCCGGGGCCGTCGCTGTCGCCGCGGTCGTCGCCGCCGGCCGCCCCCGCGCCCCCCCCTCCACCGACCCGCCGGGCGGCCCCGCTCACGTGACCGCGCCGGCCAATGGGGGCGCAGGGCGGGGCCGCGGCCGCCCCGGGCGGGGGGCGTGAGGGGGCGTGAGGGGGCGGCCGGCGCTCGGCCCGAGCTGCGGACGCTCTGTCGCGACTCACCCCGCCTGGCGCGATGCTCTCCGGTGAGGGCGGGCCTCCGCACCCTCCTCCCTCTTCCCAGTTCCCTTCCCCCTCCCGGCGGCGGCGGGGATGACGCACGTCCGGCGCGGTCCGTGCACAGGGCCCGCCCCCGCAGCCATGCCCGCTGGCGTCCCCTGGCCCTTCTACCTGCGGGCGCTGGCGGCCAGCATGCTGGCCATGTTCGCGGGGTCCGAGGTCGTGCACAGGTACTACAGGCCTGACCTTGTAAGTGCTCGGAGGGTCCCGGTCGCTGGTAGAGTGTGTGCGGGATGGGGGGGTCTGAGCAGAGGCGGTGCCTCGGAAAGGTCTCTGCCCTGGCGGTGGGCAGGGATCAGCCTCTACCGAGGCTTTGGCCAGGCCGCCAGGACTTCACTGTGTCCGATTCTGGGCTCCTCAGTACAAGAAAGACAAGGAGCTACTGGAGTGGATCCAGTGGAGGGTCACGAAGATGATGCAGGGTCTGCAACATCTCTTGGGGGAGACGACTGACAGGGGACCTCATTAATGCCTATAAACACCTCAGAGTTGGTATCACCTTAATATGAGGAAGAACTTCTTTCCGTTGAGGGTGGCAGAGCACGGGGACAGACTGCCCAGGCGGGAGTCTTCCTCTCTGGACACATTCCAAACCCAACTGGACACGTTCCTGTGTGATCTGCTGTAGGTGACCCTGCTTGACAGGGGCTTGGACTGGATGATCTCCAGAGGTCACTCCAACTCTAACAATTCTGTGATTCTGTGACTCCTCTGGGGAGTTTCCTCCACTCTGGACATCGACCATGTGTCGAGAAGGGGTCTCTGCTGTGGGAAGTGGGTTTTGAAAAGAGCATTCAGAAGTGGCGAGAAGGGGCTGTACTATATTTAAATAGACTTTGTTTCCTCCAGTAACGGAAGTGAAGGCGACCAAAAGTTGACATTAGAAATTACGACAGACAAAATTACAGTCACAGAACTAAACTCTAAATGAGACCATCTAATAGGGGTAATAATGGTTTGGTTTGGTTAGCCTCTTGGAGGCCTGACTTGGAAGCTTTCTCTCATCCTCCTGCTCGTGTGTACTTCTTGGGTTTTTTATTCTCTAGACTACTTTCAAATGGGAAATAAGCTTTAAAAAATTACCATGCTTGAGCTCTCAGCTCAAAATTTAATCAATGAGGATTCAGTCATTGATAGATGCATTAGAATGTATGTGTTTTAGTAGTCTCTACTGTAGCCTTCTACAGGCAAATTTATTCAGTGATCAAATGATCTGTATCTCTTAAGTAGCTTGAATTTTGAGGAGGTGCAATTCTTGAAATGTCATGTTATCTGGTACCTTTTTAAAATGTTATCTCCAGTTTCAGTGCTTAATTTCTGAATCAAGGCAGTAGAAGCAGTGAGACATTTTCTTCTATCACCAAGAGTATGTATGGAAACTTCAACTGTGCTAGAATACCTCTACCAAACTCACTTTAATGGCATAAAGAAGCTTTGCTCCTTTAAAACAAACTGTTCGTTCTTCCTTTTATCTCAGGTTTTTTTAAAAATTGTATTTTGGTACTTTAAAATAAGTCAAATTACAAAAATGTAATAATTCTTAAGGTGTTTTGCGTGTAGGAATTATATTCTGCTCAGAAAAGAGAGTGGTAATATCAGAGTTTAGCTGTCGTACTCTTCCAGAGTGAGCTCATTTACTGTGTTGGGAGTTTAGTTTTTCCTCTGTCACAACACTGACATCTTTCTCTGTTTTTAATAGAGCATACCTGAAATACCTCCTAAGCCTGGAGAACTGAGAACAGAACTGTTGGGTCTAAAAGAAGGATCAAGCGAAGTTCAGACTTCACAACAGTGACTAAAGTTTATTTTCATTGTGAAAACTAGAACTGATAAAATATTTATCCAACTCTTTAAGTTGCAGAAATACATATGTGAAATACTGTACTCCTGTAATGCGTTTTTGCTTTCCTTTAAGCAGAATTGCAGGCAGCATTAAAAATAAACATACAGTGAATGCTGTTGGTAAAAGCCCCATCAGTTTTGTGCCAAAATGCTTGTGAGTTCTTAAATCTGGATTACATTTTAAGTATCCTTCAGAATAAGGTGTCAAACCATGACATAGATTTATCACTGACAGGATATCTGCTCTGGTCCACTGTAAGGCTGGAATCTTACAGCTTGGTCATCTCAGTTAAAATGGGGCAAATATGTACAGATTGCACTGAAATCAGATTTGTTGTGCTCCATTTGGGCATTTTCATATGTCTATGGCTGCTTTTGATAGCTGTAAATATACAAAACTCTGAGATAACAAGTGCAGGTTTATCTTTCAGTCTCGAAATAAAATTATCACCACACTCTTGCACCAGGAACTTGGAAGATGCAGAGTTGCCACCCTGTGAAGGTGGCTCAACAACCCAGTTTTGAATGGTACAATATAGAGCTTGGGGAGGTTGGGATTGCTTTCCCTTGAGAAAGATGCCAGGACAAGGCACAGGCTTAATCCTCAGTTGCCACTTGAGTTTAACTCGTAAAAAACACAGTCTGACACATAACCCGGTAAGGAAACAAAAAGCTCCCTAATTCCTCCTACCAAAGTACTTGGAAATATTATAAGAGCAGAGGCATCCAGAAATGATCACTGAAAGTGCTATATTTACATCAGTTCTGGCTATGAAGCTATTAATTTATTGATGCCTGCATAAGCTGGAGTGGTTTCCTGTCGGAGAAGGGAGACGCGGACACCAATTCGGTCATCAGCAAAGTCTCGTTTATTGATACGCAGAGTGGCGATTAAATACAGTGCTTAATTAGCTCATGCATAGTGCAAAATCTTAGCTCCTCATTGGTCTAGATGTGC